AGATAAATGGTTGAGATTTCAATGGGAATTGCATGGAATCTATAGAGCAAGTTGGGAAGAACTGACATTTCACAAATGCTAGGCTTTCCTATCTGTGAACATGGCATATCTCTCTATTTTTTTAGTACTTCTTTGATTTCTTTAATCAAAAATTTGTAGGTTTCCTACTAGATCTTTTGTATATTTTGTTAGATTTATACCTAAGTATTCCATTTGTAGGGAGGAATGTGAACATAGATGGTATATTTTTAACTTCAACTTCCAATTGCTCATCGCTGGTATTAAAAGAGCAATTGCAATTGACTTCTCTATATTAACCCTGTATGCTGCATCCTTGCTGTAACTGCTTATTAGTTCCAGGAGTTTTTTGTTCAGTTGTCCTGGTGGACCCCTAAGGATTCCTCCTCTAAACCCAGGATTAAGAGTTTGCACTATTGTCCTCTCCCTACATAGGACTATCAAAGGCAAGATAGGGGAGAGTGCAAGGCAACAGCTCCCTGCAGTCTTCTCCACTCCACATCCTTTCATATTGTTAAAGTAAATGAGGGGAATTAACAGTTGTGGAGCAGGTTCTCAGATATTTGCTATGAAAACTTACATATGGTAATTTGGACTTTCAGAGCTATTATATTCTGGTGGTCTTTGACGAAACTTTAGTTTTAACCTATTGTTCAATCAGTATTATTTTTTATTGGAAAAACTCATGGGAGAAAAAACAAATAATTATTTCAATAAATGGCAAAAAGGCTTTTGTTGAAATTCAACACCACACCTTGTTAGGAAAATTAAAACTTCATAAGAAGCTAGCATCTGAGGAAGATGTTTTTATACTGATAAAAGTTGTCTAAAACCACAGCAAAGGACATATTTAATAATAAAGCACAAACAGGAATGTCATTTACATTCATAGTATCTAAGATTTGTTTGACTCAGTAATGGTAAGACCCACAAACACAGAAATGACTGTCATGAAGGCAGTAGTTTATTTTACTACTCACAGTTCCTTAGAAGCTGGAGGCACAGCACACCACAAGGGACAGGACAGGGAAACATCAAGGTCAGTCAGGAGGCAGTGGGAACAGGAGAAATCATGGGAAAGTATCTTTATTGCAGTTCCATGGGAAGGAACAAGCAAGTCAAGGCAATCAGGCTTGGCATTGGCTAGTTTGAATAATTTCATTGGCTTCTGGAAAGAAGAGGCTGCTATCTGGCCCTGAGGAAATTAGGGAAGCAGAATAGTGGCCAGAAATGTAAGAGTGATAAGGAAGAATAAAGACTGTAAAAGAGATAAACAGAGATAAAGAAGAATAAAGAGTGAGGAAGAGATGATAAAGAAGGTATAAACTCTGGGTTGGTTGGATATATAGGAAAGGCATACGTGCAGGCAAGTGGTTTATTACATCCAGCAATTAGCTTACCCTGAGAGGCGCAGTCCCTCCAGGGTCAACAAGGCCCAGATGTCAAAGCATCAAATTCAGAAAATAAGAGACATGACTAATACACCGTTAAAGTCAGTATTATAATTAATATTATTCAACATTATCCTGGAGTCTCTAGCCAATGCACACAACAGCAAAACCAATAAGATAACAAATATCTAAATGGAAAAGACAGATTTTCAAATCCTTAGATGATGTATCTACTTAAAATTTAAAAACAAAGTCAAGCAATCTATTAAAAGCTATTAACTATAGAAACTAAAAACTGTCCTGTATACTATATGCCAGTGAAGCTCATTTATAAAATGTAGTACAAAGGGTGATTCAGAAGAGCAACAAGAACTAAAATATTTTCAGAATTGATAGACAATTTCAAAGTCTATAAGGAAAATTGTAAATGTTTATTGCAGGTATAAAAGAAAGCATCAGGAAAAAAAGAGGTACAGGTCATCACTGCTCCACCTAGTTCCAATAACCATGATTTAATTAAATAACGTGAGTTCCCCAACATGGTTCCAAATTCAGTTGCCATGGTATTTCAACTGTGAGTAATTACATAAAGTATAAACTTTGTGTGACCTCTTCAGTCCACAAATCACAACGTAAATAACGGATGCAATCATGATTAGTGACCCATCATTTCTTTCAAAGTATGAGGTTGCCAATCACTGCATATTTGTTACTGAGTTTATACAGAGAGCAAAGCATGTCATTGTCTTGCCTCCTTGTCTCCCAGTGAGAAATCCACGTGACATTTTACAAAAATGAATAATCAAAAGAGGGAAGTCGTCAACAAATATGATACTGGAAAAAAAAAAGAAAAGAAAAGAAAAAAGAAAAGGGATAACACAAAGTGAAATTCAAATGGCACATAAATGTAGTTGTAGAAGAAATAGTGGCCATTCACTGAGGCAGATGTTTGCTTGGTATTTCGATTCTTTTTGACAAATAAATCAATTCTGAATCTGACTGAAGCTCTGTATTTACAGAAACACAGGGGGTACAGACAGGTGTTGTGTTAGGTGTTTTTCTGTTGCTGTAAAGAAATACCTGAGGCTGGGTCATTTATACAGAAAAAAGGTTTACTGGACTCACAGGTCTGCAGGCTTTACAGGAAGCATGGTGCTGGCATCTGCTCAGCTTTTGGGGAGGCCTCAGGAGGCTTCCATTCTTGGCAGAAGGCAGAGTGGGAGCAGGCTTCTCACATGGAGAAACTGGGACCAGAGAGCAAGTGGGGGAGGTGCCCACACTTTTAAACAACAGATCTCCTGAGAACTCACTGTCAGTGGGACAGCACCAGGTTATGAGGAATCTGTCCCCATGACCCAAACACCTCCAACAAGGCCCCACCTCCAACATTGGGGATTATATCTCTACATGAGTATATTAGTACATTTTCACACTGCTGTAAAGAAACTACCTGAGACTGGGTAATTTATAAAGAAAGTTTTAATTGACTCACAGTTATGCATGGCTGCAGAGGCCTCCGGAAACTTACAACCATCACAGAGGGTGAAGGAGAAGCAAGGCACATCTTACATGGCAGCAGGAGAGAGAGAGCAAAGAGGAAATGCCAGACACTTATTAAACTACCATATGTCATGAGAACTCCCTCACTATCACAAGAACAGCATGGGGGAACTGCCCCCATGATCCAATCACCTCCCACCAAGTCCCTGCGTCCACACATGGGGGTCATAATTCAAGATGAGATCTGGGTGGGGATATAGAGCCAAACCATATCAATGAGATTTGGAGGGGGCATCCAAGCTATATCCTAGGTTCAATAAATAATACCACAGAATGCAATCAGAAAAATGCAGAATGTTGAAACACCACAGGATAAATAATCTGGTTTCTTCAATCAAAACTAAAGGAGCCAATAGAATGCACGTGAATAAAGATGTAGACACACATGTAGGTGATATACTCAAGGATATCAAAGGAAATTAAAGACATATTATCATCTAATTTGAATGTATACTCCTTATTCGGATCCCAATTAAAATAACTATAAGAGGCTGGGCATGGTGGCTCATGCCTGTAATCCCAGCACTTTTGGAGGTTGAGGCGGGTGGATCACGAGGTCAGGAGTTCAAGACCAGCCTGGCCAAGATGGTAAAACCCTCTCTCTACTAAAAATACAAAAATTAGCCAGGCGTGGTGGCAGGGACACCTGTGATCCCAGCTACTTGGGAGGCTGAGGCAGAGAACTGCTTGAACCCAGAAGGCAGAAATTGCAGTAAGCCGAAATTGTGCCACTGCACTCCGGCCTGGACAACAGAGTGAGACTCCGTCTCAAAAATAAATAGATAAAATAACTATAAGATAACAATGATGATAATAATTTACAAGACAATAGGAAAACCTTGAAAACTGAATACTTCATTTGATACATTAAGAGTTACTGCTAATTTGCTCTAGGTCATATGATGTCAAGGACTGTTTGTGTTTTAAGTCATTAACATTTAGAGATGCATATGGAAATATTTGCAGAGGAAATGATAAAATGCCTGAATTTCCAAAAAAATGAGGATATGTGTCTCACCTACTAGTTAAATGGCTCCTCTAATTGATTCTTACATTTCTCTACCACATCTTGCCTTGAGTCGACTCTAAAGACATATTTGATGAAAGAAGGTAAATACCAGTAACATGTGAAAAGGGCTGCATCAAGAAAGCTGCTCTATCAATGAAATCATTAGAAAAATACGATGTACTCAGTGTACGAATGCCTCAATTAAGGCAATAATGAGGAATATAGGGAAAGTGTGTGGAGGTGTAGATGAAGCAAAATTGGCCATGTATTAATTGTTAGTAAGCGGATTAAATGGTAAATTGGTTCATTAAACTATTACAATTTTCTCTACCTTAGTAAATTTTTGAAAATTCTATAACAAAAAAAAAAAAACTCTAGGAGCATAATAAAACTAAATATGCACAGATGTACCCCAAAATGCTGAGTTTACAGTAAATATTAGATCAATATTTAATAATCCAATTTTTAAGACAGAGTTTCAATCCTGTTGCCCAGGCTGGAGTGCAATGGCGCTATCATGGCTCACTGCAACCTCTGTCTCCCGGGTTCAAGCAATTATCCTGCCTCAGCCTCCTGAGTAGCTGAGATTACAGGCGCCTGCCACCACACCCAGCTAATTTTATTTATTTATTTATTTATTTATTTTTAGTAGAGATGGGATTTCACCATGTTGGCCAGGCTGGTCTTGAACTCCTGACCTCAGGTGGTCCGCCTGCCTCGTCCTCCCAAAGTGCTGGGATTACAGGCGTGAGCCACCACGCCAGGCTCTAATGATCCATTTTGATTACAATGTCATAAGATCTTGTAATCGTTGAGAATAACTCGTGTGGTTTATCAAAAACATCTTATTATTCCATTAAACTTACGGATTAGAACAAAAATCATCATGAAGTTGTTTCAAAGAATATGTTCCAATTTAGATGGCTAAAAATATTTGCATATAATCATTATTACCAAATGTGGGATAGGCATGAAAATGTGGATGATCAAAAATAATTTCTTAAACAGATTATTCTATGTTGTGTATAATGATAGAAGAATTCTTTAATTCATTTGTAATTTATTTTTCCCGAATTAAGCAACTAAGTTTGAGATCTTTAGCCCAGGAAGGAGTAGATGAGGTGTAGCCTGCTTCCTTGGCTGTTGAATGCTTCTGGAAAGGATGCTGAAGAACTTGCTGGAGAAGATGCACCTGGTAAACAATGTGGGCAGATAAATACAGATTATAATTACTCAGGACCCTGATGAATTTCTACATTACTGAATGGCAAGGTCAACTTTAAATGTTTAAAAATGTTCATACTTTGGGAAGCAAAGGCAGGCAGATCACTGGAGGTCAGGAGTTGGAGACGAGACTGGCCAACATTGCGAAACCTTGTCTCTACTAAAAACACAAAAATAAGCCGGATGTGGCGGCGTCTGCCTGTACTCCCAGCTACTTGGGAGTTTGATGGAGGAGAATGTCTTGAAACTGAATGTGGAGGAGGCAGTGAGCCAAGATCACGACACTACACTCCAGCCTGGGCAACAGAGCTAGATTGTCTCAAATCGAACAAACAACAATAAAAGTTCGTACATTTTGTTTTATGAAAAATCTCAACTCTAGTTGTTACTTAGAATTTCTATTATTCCACAGAATTTCCTTAAGTACTATTTTTGTACTAAAGTAAGAGAAGGAATGTGTACACTGTCATGGAGAGTACAAATATATCCCCGTCATTTTAAGATCCCTTTACAGCATAAAGAGAATTATAATTTTCTAAAATATTTAGCAAAAAAAAAAAAGAATGTCAATGATTTGCAATCTTTCCAAATGAAGGGCATGAATTCCAGCTCATGCTGCTTCCTCACTGGGAATTTGGCTCTATAATAATAAACTGAGGCACAAACAACACACTTCTTTCAACAGTAAACCTAAGATTGAAATGTTTATTTTCAGTGGTTTTGCTATTTCTTGGGGATTATGAAGGAAATGCTTAGTTAGAATATAGAGGGTGGATGATAATACCATGAAATTAAGGGTGAGAGATAAAGTAGAACATTTTATTGCATCACTAGTATTTTAAATATAAAGATTGCATCATCATAAATACGGGGCTTTTGGAGCCCATCTTAGCACTTCTCCCCAGGTACGTTCAATACATATCATTTTATTGAAGTTGCTTGTACACCTATCAGTCTCACCTACTAGTTAAACGGCTCCTCTAATTGATTCTTACATTTCTCTACCATATCTTGCCACTCAGTGTACGAATTTTAGGAAATTTCCCTATTACACATGCTACTTCGAGTATGTGTGTTATTTTCAAAAACATATAAATTGAATATATAATTAGTGAATGCATGTGATATATATATATCATATATATATATGTTAACATCACACAGTAGACTTAACTCATGGCAAAGATTTTTTCTGAAGCATCTGCAGAAATCAGCCTTCTTTCCAGTTTCAAAAACCCCAACATGGGCAAAAGAGGATCCTTTGGATGCCGGATAGTGCATGAAGCACATTGGGTTACAGTAATTTTAATATAGTTCATATTCATAATTCACAGTGAGGAAACCTGAAAGTTGCGCCCAGCTATCAGTGAATGAAAGGTAGGGCGGGGCTGCTGTGGGGGCGGGGCCTTGTGAGCCAGTGCCTGGACTCCCACATCACAAATGGAAGGGCGGCGCGTGGAGGGAACTCAAGGCCTGATTGGTTCCTCCTAAGTGGGACGTGATCTGGTTGTCAGGGCAACCGGCTTTCAGTTAGAGCCTTCAGTGGATGCCTTCAGTTGGTGTCATTTGGTGGCCTTTCCTGGGGAGAGGTAGCAGGTGCTCAGCTCTGCAGGCGTGGGGGCAAGCGAAGGCCCCAGCTGCCTGAGAAGAGCAGAGGTGCACCATGGGGACCATGCTGACCTGTCGCATGTGCACCAAAGCCAGCCCCAGACAGGGCCCCCACAGGGCTTCTGCGGAGTCATCCTGTGGCTCTGACATCTATGAGTGGGCGGCCAGCAAAGGCGCAGGCCCCAGCACAGAGAAGCAGAGGTGCCCGGAGCACGTTGACCCCCAATGCCAGCCCCAAGCAGGGCCAGCTGAGGGTGCTGTGTTCAGAGCCGTTCTGCAGATCTGAGATCCACCACGTGGAATTGGGAGTAGCACCAGACTTCACTGCTTTGGAGCCTGCCCAGTCTGATTCGGGAGACATGACTAGCAGCACATTGGCGACCCGAAGACGCCAAAAGGTAGAGAGACTACAGATACTGCTTGGCCTTAGGAGCTCCTCTGGCCTTGCTCACCCAAGATTCCCCCAAGAGGCAACCACAGCCTAGGGCTCCTCCCTCCTGCCTCTAGTTCGCTTTCCTATCCCCTGCCCCAAGCAGGAGAACTTGCTCTGACTCGACTCCCCCACCCCTTCTTCTTTCCTGTTGCATCCAGCCAGTTACTTTTCATTGCCCTGCCCAAGCTGTCCCTTAATGCCAGCCCCAAGCCGGGCCAGCTGAGGGTGCGGTGTTTGGAGCCATCCTGCAGCTCTGAGATCCAGGAGGTGGCGATGGGAGTAGTGCCATACTCCACTGATTTGGAGCCTGCCCGGTCTGATTCAGGAGCCATGACTGGCAGCACATTGGCGACCAGAAAACGCCAAAAGGTAGGGAGACTACAGATACCGCTTGGCCTTAGGAGCTCCTTTGGCAGTTGCTCACCCAAGGTTCCCCCCAGCGGCATCCACAGCCTAGGGCTCCTCCCTCCTGCCTCTAGTTCGCTTTCCTATCCCCTGCCCTAAGCAGGAGAACTTGCTCTGACTCGACTCCCCACCCCTTCTTCTTTCCTGTTGCATCCAGCCGGTTACTTTTCATGGCCCTGCCCAAATGCCCACTTCTGTGTCCTCTTCTTCTTTTCCTAGGCTGGTCAAAACTAAGTTTTCAAAATACGAAATGGATGCTACAGATTTCATTACAGTAGAGGAAATGTCTGACAGCTCTTGTATTTAAACTTAAGTAGCCACATCGGGACTCCCAATTTCATATCTTGAGTTCTAGAGCAGAGCTCTCTCTCCTAAAGTAATGGCGGAGGGTTAGAGGTACTCTTCTTGATTCTAATAATGAAAAATGATATTTTGTAGAGACAGGGCCTCACTGTGTTGCCCAGGCTGCTCTCAAACCCCTGGTCTCAAGTGATTCACCCACGTTGGCCTCCCACTTTGTTGGGATGACAGGCAAGAACCACCACACCTGGCCTTGGGAGCTGCTCCTGCTTTGTGTGTTCCGGCTGGTCTTCCTGTGCAGCTGTCAGTAAGATGCTCCTGCAGCACAGTTCCAAATCTTTCTGTGCAAATTCAGTGGATGCTGTGATTTCTTTAATGGAATAGACCCTTTATTTATTGCAGAGAAGTTGGACAATTCACACTTAGTAACATACGGCTTAGCAAATTTCATTTCTTGATCAACACACCTGTTAAAAGGTGATGCTTGTGGTCTAAATATGCAGATTCCTCATCATCCCCAAAGAAAAGGGAACCACTGCAAGGCAACCTGGGAGGGAGTTTAGGATTGTTCTGAGGCAGTGCAAGCCATTGAAATTCACACATGAGGGGACAGAAAAGACAATCCACATGTTCTTATCCCTCCATGTTCTGGGTACCACTTGGTGCTCTGTAACTTGCACCATTTTTGGCATCAGAGAAAACTGGATTTGAATCCCAGTTCCATCGCTCTTTATAATGTGATGGTGAATGTGTTTTTAACTCGTCTGAGCCTCAGTTTGCTCATCTATAGAAGATATGATTGTTACGAGGCTTCCATAAGGTAAGTGTGTAAAAACCATGACAAAATGCTTGTAATTTAGAAGAGAGGATTATGAGGCTTCTAAAAGGTAAGTGTGTAAAAGACTGGACACGATGTCTACCGTTTTGTAAATGTTCAACACGTGGACAAGGAGGGTTATCTTTCTTTTCTTTTTTTTTTTTTTTTTGAGACAGTGTCTCACTCTGTCACCCAGGCTGGAGTGCAGTGGTGCGATCTCGGCTCCCTGCAACCTCCGCCTCAGGGGTTCCAGCGATTCTCCTGCCTCAGCCTCCTGAGAAGTTGGGACTACGGGTGCCCGCCACCATTCCTAGCAAATTTTTATATTTTTAATAGAGACAGTGTTTCACCATGTTGGCCAGGATGTTCTCAATGTCTTGACCTTGTCATCCATCCGCTTCAGCCTCCCAAAGTGCTGGGATTACAGGTGTGAGCCACCACGCCCGACCTCTCTTATTTTTTAGACTATTAATTTTTAGACCAAGTTGATAAAATTGGGGATACTGTATTTCTTAGACGATCAAACCAACGATCAGAAAGACTAAATAAATCACCATAGTCACAAAGCAGTTCACAATGTGTTCACTGGGTAATTTCTAGTTAAAAGTAGCAAAGATGATCACATTGAAAACTTTGTATTATGTGGTGGTTTTCACTTACATAATCCTCTTGGTGTTTTTGAAACCATAGCTTCTAAGTTGCTCTATTAAAGTGATCATTAGAAAAATGTGATGTACTTAGTGTGTACATTTTAGAAAATTTCTTGTGTTACTCTTGTTAATTTGATTGAACATGTGTGTTATTTTCAAACATGTAAATGGAATATATATTGATTGTATTTAAATGTGTATATGTGACATAAGACTTGACTTTATAGAGTAGGCTTAGCTCATGGCAATGTTTTTTCTGAAAGCACCTGCAGAAATCACTCTTATTTCTAGTTTGTTAATGTTTCAGAGATTATTGGGAAAAGAGGGTTCTATGAATCTCAGACACTGTGTGAGGCAGATTTCGTTTCAGTGATTTTAGCATCATTCATCGTAAGACGATGATCCCTAGGAGCTTATTCACAGTGAGAAACCTCACATGTCCTAGCAGCCAGCAAGGAATGAAATGTGGGGCGGGACCACTGGCAAGGCTGGGTATTGTGAGCCATGTGCCTGTGCTCTCAAGCTCCAAGTTTGTGGGGATGCCTGCAGGAGATTCTGGACTTGATTGTTTCCTGTAACCAGGATGTGGTCTGGTTGGGAGGGTAACTGCCCTTCATTTGGTGGCCTTCTGTGGGTGCCCTCATTGGTTGCCTTCGGCTAGTGCCCTAGTTGGTACCCTCAGTTGGTGCTCTTCAGTTGTCTGGCAGTGGTGAAAGGAGGATGAATCCGTTTGTGCTCTCTCCTGCCCCAGTCACAGTTCTCAGGCTTGTCGCCTCCAGGCCCTTCTAAAATAAACCAGATAGGCTGGCAGCTTTTTCTTTGCAGACAAGTCAGCTCAGGGTATGGGGGTTATGTGGGGTGTGGGCTGCTAGCAGAGTGCCACCTATGGCCCACGGCTGCCTGTGC